CCCCCGCTACACACACTCCCTCACACCGCAGCGGCTGCTAGTCGTCGGCTGCACTCACCCTCGCCCTGGCGGTCGCCCTCGCCCTCGCCCTCACCCTCTCTCTCCCGCCCGCCGCAGCGGCTGCTAGTCATCGGCTGCACGGGGGCAGGCAAGTCGACCCTGCTCAACCTGCTGGCGGGGTGGACCTTCGTCGGCAACCTCGACGCGCAATTCTTCATTCCTCATTCCTCAGTACTAGTTGTTAATGAACGCCGTCTTCTCAGGCGACCTCGACGCGGCCGAGTTTGACTTCAGCTGGGTGTGGCTCGCCGCTTCCCCTCCTCCGACTGGCCATTGAGTCTTCGGTGAAGACGACCCACTCTTCCTTGACCATAGGTGCCTCGCCCCTCGCCCTCCGACGCGGGCGACGCGGCGGCGAGCGGCGAGGAGGAGGAGGAGCCTCTCTTCTCGACAGAGGCATGCACTAAGACACTTCCTAGACATTTCCTAGACACTCCCTAGACACTCCCCTTCCTAGACACTTCCTAGACACTCCCTAGACACTCCCTAGACACTCCCTAGACACTTCCTAGACACTTCCTAGACACTCCCTAGGCACTCCCTAGACACTTCCTAGGCGGGGAGCGAGTCGTGCACCAAGAAGACGTCGTACGCCAACCTGAGCTGGTTCGGCGACCGCGGCAAGCCCTTCACCGCCATCGACACGCCCGGGCACGACGACCCGGACGGCGCTGACATCGACTCGCCGGAGGCTCGCGATGTCGCTGGGGCGAGATCGCCATAAGAATGAATCATTAATAGTTAATAATTAGTAGGCTCGCGAGGCGCTGGGCGAGATCGCCGCCGACCTGCACAACAAGCTCCGCGCGATCAAGAAGGTGAACGCGATGCTCGTCTGCACAACGAGTATGAATGAGTTAATGAGCAACTATTAATTATGAAGGTGAACGCGATCCTTGTCTTGCACAACGACGTCCACTCCAACCGCCTCAACCCGGCCACGTACACCATCCTCAAGATGGTCGCCGAGAAGTTCGCTGCGGCCGGCGACGGCGGCGACGTGTGGAAGCACGTCATCCTCGCCTACGCCAAGTGCATATTAATTAATGAGTGAGTTATTACTTATGAAGGTGTGGAAGCACGTCATCCTCGCCTACGCCAAGTGCATATTAATTAATGAGTGAGTTATTACTTATGAAGGTGTGGAAGCACGTCATCCTCGCCTACGCCAAGTGCATATTAATTAATGAGTGAGTTATTACTTATGAAGGTGTGGAAGCACGTCATCCTCGCCTACGCCAAGTGCATATTAATTAATGAGTGAGTTATTACTTATGAAGGTGTGGAAGCACGTCATCCTCGCCTACGCCAAGTGCATATTAATTAATGAGTGAGTTATTACTTATGAAGGTGTGGAAGCACGTCATCCTCGCCTACGCCAAGTGCAACTCGCACGACGTGTCCTGGCAGGCCCGCATCAGCACAGCCAGACAAGAGGACTCTCCTCCCCCCTGCCAGCCTCTCGACCCCCCCCTCTCATTGGCCACTTCTATACACACGCGAGGTGGCCCTGCCTTATAAAAGGGAAGAGCTGCTCGTCAGCCATGGGGGAGCCCGCCGCCCCCCCGCCCGTTTGACAGGCCTCCATCGCCAAGAAGAAGAGGGACCTGCAGGCCGCCGTCCGCGCAAAGATCCCGTCGTGCAAGGTGGAGGTTCCTGTTGTGACGCTTGGAGGGGCGACGGTGAGCGGCGAGGGGGCGGGCGCGATGGCGGCGGCGGGCAAGGCCAAGGAGAAGGAGGGCTTCGACGAGCTCTGGACCTTTTTGCAGACGGCGGGCAACCCTAGAAGCGGAAGATGTATTGCTGTGCTCCAACCAGCACTCGAGAGGACACGGACTCCGCCGGACTCCGCCGTACTCGGCCGTATTCGCTGTGCCTTCGCCTCCGTTGTCTTCACGCGGTGCTCTGAAGGCGCTGCACAATACCGTCTTCCCGCCCTCATGCCGGCGTATTCAGCGCGGTAGGCGGGCGACCTAGACTGCACGAAGCTGCAGCCGTTTGAAGGGGCCGACGTCAAGTGGGAAAAGATGATCAAGGCGAAGGATGAGGCGGAGGCGCGCGCGCGCGCGTCCCTCATCTACATCGCCGTCCTCGCAAAGCTGGGCGGCTTCCTTGTTTTCCTTTTCTGGCGCGCCTTCATGCTGCCGCGCTACGTCGCCTTCTTGCTTGCGAGCGCCATCGGTGCGTACGCGGTGCACCAGATCGTGACTTGCAGCGGGGATGTGCCTCGCACGCCCCTCTTCGGCGCGGCGCTCGCGCTGCTGATGGTCAACATGCACACCGTCGCCGACGAGCTGCTCATCCTCGGCTTGTTCGTCAAGTTTGTCGGGTACGAGACGACGGCGTGCTCGGTGCAATTGTTAATTGTTAATTGTTAATTATTGATTATTAATTGCAGGTACGAGACGATGGCGTACTCGGTGCGCCACTCGTGCCGCGTCCCGGCTCGCTCGCCCCCTCTCCACAGCGGTGAACAGCGTCTCTTCACAGCTGCACTACCCACAGGTGCGCCACTCGTGCCGCGTCCTTGCTGGGGCTGTGACCAGCGTCTCTTCACACCTCGAGCTGTGAACAGGTGCGCCACTCGTACCGCGTCTGGCTCGAGCCCCACGCGGGGCCGTTCGTCGACGCGGCGATGGAGAAGGCGGGCCCTCTGCTCCAGGCGCCTCCAGTTATTAAGTATCAATTGGTAATTTTTTAATGATTATGGCGATGGAGAAGGCCCTCTGCTCCAGGCGGCGCAGGAGCAGGTGAAGAAGCTGACCGTGTCCGTCGCGCCACCCGCAAAGCCGAGCGCGGAGACCAAGAAGAACCTCTGAGAAGGCCGCGGCGCGTGGGGAAAGGTGCCGCCGCGGCTCTAGCGCAGGAGGGGGAAGGGGGGTGGGCGGGCGCCGCAGCGTCGCTGTCTAGCGTCGGCGGCGCCTGCAGGAGGAGCGGCCGGTAAGAGCGTTCCGTCTCGCCGATGCTCAGGGCGCTTTGGCGGCCACTGCCCCGGAACTGTGCCTTGTGGATGGCTGCGCGTCTCTCTGTCGTGGATCTGTCTCTCTGTGACTGTGACCCCCTGCTCGTCGGGTACCGCCTCGTGGACGGGAGAGGTGGGGTGCACGTCCCCACGTGTCCCGGCCGTGTACTAATTTCCTTTTCAATGCACGCAATGCCAATGGCTCTGCTGTCTGTGTCTCGTCACTGTCTGCAACAGCCAACACCGGTAAGTCGTTCGGTACCCCTGCCCGCGCGCGCCCGGGCGACTCGACGGAGCTCGGAGGCCGCGACGCGGACGGAGGTCCCGGAGGCAGGAGCACACAACCTCACAAGGCGACAGGGTTTTCAGGGACACGAGCCGGAGCAGCTCTCGGCCTCTCGCGTCGCAGGCAGCACATAGGCCAGCACGTGGCAGCTCAGCACTGTGTACTGATACATGTGGCTCGGCGCGCGTCACTCGGTGAGGCGAGCAGACGGGTGCAGCTGGGATGACAGCGTTCGCGTTCGCCCAGCCAGCGGGGTGAGATGAGGTCGGGAACACCCCGGTGCCCCCGCGCCCACGACTAAATCTTCTTGGGCAGCAGCTGGTTCGAAATGTCCTCTCCGTGCCCTAGGCAGCTGCGTTCGCCCTTGCCCCACGTAAAGACGGCGCCGTTGGCGGCGAGAGCGATGCTGTGCACATCTCCAGCCGACACAGCGACGATTCGCCTGCCAGCAAAGGCCTCCACCTTCTTCGGCAGCAGCTGGCGCTGCTCGTCGCCGTGGCCCAACTGGCCTTGCTCTCCACCGCCCCAGCTCCAGACGGCGCCGTCAGCGGTGATGGCGAGGCTGTGAACGCCTCCAGCCGAGACAGCGACGACGCGTTGGCCAGCCAAGGCCTCGACCTTCTTCGGCAGCAGCGGTTCGACATGTCCTCGCCGTGGCCCAGCCTGCCAGAGCCTCCCGAGCCCCAGCTCCAGACGCTGCCGTCAGCGGTGATGGCGAGGCTGTGGAAGTCTGCAGCCGACACAGCGACGACGCGCCGCCCAGCCAAGGCCTCGATCTTCTTCGGCAGCAGCTGGCGCTGCGAGTCGCCGTGGCCCAACCGGCCCCAGGATCCATAGCCCCAGCTCCAGACGGCGCCGTCAGCGGTGAGGGTGAGGCTGTGCGCAGCTCCAGCCGACACGCTCACGGTGCGCTCGCCTCCCAGCGGCGACGGGAGGCGGGTCAGCGTGTTGAGCCGCGCCACGCCCTCGCCGTGGCCAAGGACGCCTGCGACGTGCTCCTCCGAGCCGCACGACGAGAGCCGCCCCTCGCCGTCGATGAAGAGGCTGTGCCCTCCGCCTCCCGCCGCCCTCGCCGGCGGGTTGGACTCGCACAGCAACGCAGCAAAGCACAGCCACCGCACGGGGCAGCCCTCGCCCTCTGGCTGCGCCGGCAGCTCGAAGCCGCGCTCTTGCGCCCACAAGCGGATGGCCTCCGCCGCGAGCGAGGCGTGGAAGAGCAGCGAGACGGCTGCGACGCGAGCGATGTCGACGGGGCTGTCGCAGCGAGAGAGGGCGCGCTCGAGGAGGTCCGTGGGGAGGTCGAGGAGGCGGGCGGGCGGCGGCGTGTCTGGCGAGGGGGCGGCGGCGGAGGAGGCGGTGGCCCCGGTGGCGAGGCGGCGCGAGCGGCGGCGCGGCGGGGCAGACATCGTGAGAAAAAGAATTACCCGGGCCAAGGCTGACTGACGCGCGCGAGCCCAATAAAGAAATGGAAAAAAAGCCCGCCGAAGCTAGGAGAAGGTTGCGCGAAAGCACCGACGGCCCATGCTCTCCAAGCTCGTCCTCTTGCTGGCCGTCTGCGGCGCGCGCGGCCTCCTGCTGCCCGTGGCGCATCGCGCCGCCGTCAGCACGACGTCGTTTCAATACGCCGTTGCTGCTCGCTTGCCGGCCGTGCAGATGGGCCGCGGCGACAAGCGCACAAAAAAAGGGCGGTTGTCAGGACGCCAGCGGAGGCGGCGGTCGAGCGGGCGGGCGTGAGGACCGGGCGAGGCGGCGGGGGCGGCGGGCGAGGCGCCAGGCGGGACGGCTGCTGGCGCAAGTGCGCATGGGGGAGACGGCGGCGCGGGTGGCGAGCGCACGCGCAGATGGGGGGCGGAGTCGATTGCGGCTTTGGGGAGGGTCCGGCGGGGAGGGCGGGGTGGGTCGGGACGGGGTGGGGCTTTGGGGAGGGGTCCGGGGTGGGGTGGGGTGGGGCGGGTGTCGGAGGAGGGGATTTCGGACGCCGGCTCTTGTGGCGAGGACGATGGCTTCTAAGGAAGCCGTCGTCTGCGCCTTGTCTGTCGTGTGAATCGTAAATAGAATAAATAGAGCAGTCATCTCCAGGGAGAGATGGGCGACGCGAATCGTGCGTGTGCGAGAGGGTTGTTAAATTCTTTTTCTCGCGATGTCCACCCCGCCGCGCCGCCGCTCGCGCCGCCTCGCCGCCGCCTCCACCGCCTCCGCCGCCCCCTCGCCAGACACGCCGCCGCCCATCCGCCTCCTCGACCTCCCCACGGAGCTCCTCGTGCGCGTCATCTCCCGCTGCGACCCCGCCGACATCGCTCGCGTCGCGGCCGTCTCGCTGCTCTTCCACGCCTCGCTTGCGCTGGAGGGCATCCGCTTGCGGGCGCAAGAGCGCGGCTTCGAGCTGCCGGCGCAGCCCGAGGGCGAGTGCGTCGTACGGTGGCTGTGCTTTGCTGCGTTGCTGTGCGAGTCCAACCCGCCGGCGAGGGCGGCGGCAGGCCAGTATCACAGCCTCTTCATTGACGGCGAGGGGCGGCTCTCGTCGTGCGGCTCTACGCCGTCCTACTTGCAAGAGCTACTGGGCCACGGCGAGGGCGTGACGCGGCTCAACACGCCGACCCGCCTCCCGTCTTCTCTCCCTGCCATGAGTGTGTCGGCTGGAGCCGCGCACAGCCTCGCCCTCACCGCCGGCGGAGAGGTCTGGAGCTGGGGCAGCGGCAGCTCTGGCCGGTTGGGCCACGGCGATGAGCAGCACCAGTGGCAGCCACAGAAGATCGAGGCGTTGGCGGGCCAGAGTGTCGTCGCTGTGTCGGCGGGACGCGAACACAGCCTCGCCCTCACCGCCGTCGGCGCCGTCTGGAGCTGGGGCTATGGAGGCCTTGGCAGGCTGGGCCACGGCGACGGGCAGGCCCAGCCGCAGCTGCTGCCCAAGAAGGTCGAGGCCTTGGCTGGCCAGCGCGTCGTCACCGTGTCGGCTGGAGGCGCGCACAGCCTCGCCATTACCGCCGACGGCGCTGTCTTTACCTGGGGCGGTGGAGCCTTTGGCAACCTGGGCCACGGCGACACGCAGGAGCAGCTGCTGCCGAAGAAGGTCGAGGCCTTTGCTGATCAACGTGTCGTCGCCGTGTCGGCTTTAGGGGTGCGCAGCCTCGCCCTTACCGCCGACGGCGCCGTCTGGAGCTGGGGCTGGGGAGGCTTTGGCAGCCTGGGCCACGGCGACGAGCAGGACCAGCTGCTGCCCAAGAAGGTCGAGGCCTTTGTCGGCCAGCGCGTCGTCACTGTGTCGGCTGGAGCAATCCACAGCACCGCCCTCACCGCCGACGGCGCCGTCTGGAGCTGGGGCAATGGAGTCTACGGCCAGCTGGGCCACGGCGACCAGCAGAACCAGCTGCTGCCGAAGAAGGTCGAGGCCTTTGCTGGCCGGCGCGCCGTCGCTGCGTCAGCTGGAGCGTACCACAGCCTCGCCCGCACCGCCGACGGCGCCGTCTTCACGTGGGGCAAGGGCGCAGACCGCTGCCTAGGCCACGGAGAGGACCTGTCAAACCAGCTGCTGCCCAAAAAGGTCGAGGCGTGGGCGCCGGGGCCGTGAGTAGGCAAGGCGTGAGTGCGAGGCGGCGAGGAGCCGAGCAGGAGCACTAGCCGTGGGCTTCACCGCTGGCGGCACGCTACGAGCTTTTGAGAGCTTGAGCCGCGAGCTTGCGAGCTGCTTGCGCTCTTGCGGCGTTGCCGTTCCCGTTGCCGGTTGAAGACAGAAGAGGGACTCGCCTTTAGATTTTTTCTTCTTTTGATTGATTCGCCAGCTGATTCTCTGTGCGCGAGAGGCCAGCCGCACGCCTCGCCGCTCACGCCTCACGCCTCAAGGCTCCCACCAACCTGCTCAGCAAGTCCCACACCCGCCTCCTCGGTAGACTCGGTAGGCGCTCTAGGCCCTCTCGAAGCAGCATGCTCGCCCGGATCGCCTCGCAGCAGTCGCGCCTCCTGCGGCCTCTCGCTGTCCGGCACATGTCCGGTGAGGCGAGGCCCATGACGCGCTTCGTTCAGGCGATCGCCGCCGCGCGCTCTCCTACGCCAGCACTTGCGCCAGCACTTGCGCCCACGCCACGCACCACTCGCGCTCTGTTGAGGCACTGCGCGCGGGTGAGCGCCGCTCTCGCTGTCTGTGGCCGGCTGCCGATATGTGTCTCCCCTCCCTTGCCCGCAGTACACCCGTTTGACAAGACCAAGATGGCGGAGGTGCGTGCGTGGGTCAACGACACTGACTTGCCGGTGCGCTTCTCGCGCATGACACACCGCCCAGGACCGGGCCGCGCGCTCACCCCGTGGAGTCTCTCGGCAGCTTGTCAGCCCTCAGCCGAAGCTGGGGCCGGTCCCGTAGCCGAGAGAGCCCGCGCCGATGAGTTCGACGCGGTCGGGGGGGCCTGCGGAGAGGCCAGCGAGATGGCGATCGCTGTACTTCATGGCGCCCTCAAAGTGGGGCTGGCTGACTCGCCAGAGGTCGATACTCTGGACGACCCATAGGATGCCACGAATGCCTGGAGGAGAGGGAGGCGAGGCCAGAGGCAGGCTCAGCTGCTCTCGGGTGATCTCGCTTTGGTGGCTGAAGGACCCGATGGTCCTGTCACATTCGCGTTCCGAGTCGTGGGGGTAGAAGAATTCGAGGTAGAATCGAGTCAGCACATCCTTGTAGTACAGCGGACCGCCAGGCTCGCCGGCAGCATCCGCATTTTCTCTCTTTCTTCTTGATTGATAGAAAGGCGAAGAACAGTCAGGCTCGGACTGGACACCAACGCGGTATGGGTGGACGCGGGACAGATGATGACGACACGCACGAGCGACACACAGACACAAACAGGCTCACAAGACACACAGCCAGCGGGCTGCCACACACCCTGAGTAGGCGTACACATCACTCCATCCCGGGGAAACTCCGTCGAAATCGTCATTTTTTGGGGCCGATTCTGACTTCTGAGGCTGGTTGGGCCCAAAATCAGCCAAATTTTAGGCCAAATCGGCAAAATGGAGAACCCGGGTATACCTGGAAATTACCCTGCGACCGCCTCCCTGGGTATTTTGTCGATTTCCTCAATTTTGCCTCAGATTTTGCCCCAGACCAGCTCTCAGTACTCAGACTCGAGCACTTGGAGCACTTGGAGTGCAGTCATTAGCCTCACATCCAGGGCCGGGGAGCTAAGGAGCGCAGCGGGCCGGATGATCGAGCTCTCAGACTCAGAGAGAGAGGTTTGTCAGACTCAGGGAAACTCGCGAGTTTCCAGAATGGAGCATCCACCCTCTGTTTTCCCTGGAATTTTACGGAAACTCAAAGTGCTGGGGACCCACTGTTGTCTTTTTTATTTGTTTGCCGGAAAGCTTGCAAGGCCAATCCGTTCCCCCATCCCTGGAAGCTCGGACTTATTTCTTTTTTAAGCGACGCGCGCTTCGATTTGTTTATCGGGGAAAGAGGCCGCCCGAATTGCAATGACAATGAACTGGGCCTTAGTCCTGAAAAACCAAAGGAAGGAGGACTGCGTGTCGCCATCAGCTCGTGGCGGTTTTGCAGGACCAAAGGAAGCAGACTCTCCGCCATGTCCGCTCCTGCCATGTCCGCTCCTCTCACGCCACCCACGTGCGCCAAGCCCTCGCGGGGCTACATCACCGAACGCAAGGTCCAGGCCCGCGGCGCAGCCGCAGCCCGTGGCGGCGCAGCCGCAGCCCGTGGCGCCACGGCGAAGAAGCCCGTCACGAGGTACGACGCTCCCTACACGACCGAGGACGGCAAGCCGCTCGGCCACTACGACGACTCGATCGGTAAGTGGGTCGGCGAGCCGTTGTGGCAGCGCATCACCTGCCCGGCCCTCGCGGCGCTGGTCAAGAATGGCGACCTCGTACCCGACCCGCAGACCGGTCACATCACCCAGGCGCAGTGCCGCTGCGCCTTCGCAAAGATTGGCGTCAAGGATGTCGGCGCTGCTGCGACCGCCACCAACTTCAACTTCCTGGGTTGGAACGAGCCTGCCAACTGGAAGCACGCCGGATTCCCCGGCTCGTGGGGCGAGGAGTGGCAGGGCAACAAGTGGAAGGGGCCCCGCAAGAGCGCGGCGGAGGACAGAGCGTGCGGCATGGTGCCCAACGGGCAGCCAGTCTGCGGGACCAAGGACGGCAAGGAGTACACGCAGGATGAGGTCGACGCTTTCAACGACGAGCTCCACATCAACGTCTACTTCATGAATGTGACCAACAAGCAGTGGTACACCAACAGCACGTGCCTCAAGACCGCGCTCAACTGCTGCACGCTCGAGCCGCAAGGCATCGTCAACCCGAACCCGTACAACAACATGGAGCACTCCAAGTCGACCGGCATCCGCGACTTCCGCCTCAAGACCGGCGGCTTCGCGGGCTTCTGGAACTGCGTGCTCAGCGCCATCCCGTTCAAGGAGCAGTTCTGCGGCGAGAACACCTGCCAGATCACAAGGGACATCACGCCGTCCAAGCAGCAGATGAACGAGTTCCTCAACTTCGCATTCCAGAGTCAAGAGAACGGGGACGCGAAGAAGGCGCCCGCTTACAACGCGCCCTGCACCTCGAGGCTCGGCTTCTTCTTCAACCGCTGCGGCGCAAACTGCCTGAACGGCAAGCCGCCTGCTGACGCCGTCCTGCACCACACCTGGAACCCCAACTTTCTGCAGCGGGAGACGCCCGAGGTCGATAACGCCGTGCACTGGTTCAACATCGACAACCTGCAGACGCTGCAGTCGTGCTACGCCGAGATCACGAACGACCGCTTCCCGGGCCCGAAACAGATCGAGTACCTCAAGGGCGGCGAGAAGGACAACCAAATCGTGCCCGGGCAGTTTGCGAAGCGGCCGGCAGATGACGGCAACCTCGAGGCGGCCGTGAAGGCGCTCTTCGTGGAGTTCGGCTACCCGGCGAACCAGACGGAGTCGATCCACTCCGCGCCGCCAAAGAACGCGGACGAGGCGCGGGCCCGCTCGTGGACGATGCCCGTCGAGGAGTGGCGCGCCCTGTGGATCGATTCCGAGTACCCGAAGGCTGTGCAGGACCGCAAGCAGAAGGCGAAGGCTGGCGAGTGCCCGTTCCGCGCAAAGCCGGCCGCGTCCTTTGTGCCTGTCCCCGACCAGCCGTGGCTGAAGCGGAGCACTGAGGACCCAGACGTGTACCTCCGCCACGGCGAGAAGTTCCCCGTGCGCCTGCCCTCGACGGCGCCGGCGGCTTGAACCGCCTCAAACACCCTCTCGGCGCCGTGGGCGGGGGCTGAGGACCGAGGCCCTCGAAGGTGATGATTGATATGTCTAGTGCGTACGTGGCTGTGTTTGTGGAGTTGGTTGGGTTGTCGTGTGGTCCGCCGGTCGCACGGTCTCCTCTCCGTAACGCGTAAGAAGCCTTTCAGAGTCAAGCGATCCGCTGTCCACTCGGCGGGGCCGCAGCTGCCTCTGGAAGGCACCGAATCAATTGTGATTTGTGCACACCCGGCTCAGCGCCTCACTGTCACTCACGGGTGGATTTTGGGGCGCTGCCTGCCCTCTAGAGATAGAACGCACGGTGTAGAGCGTTCTCCAGTTCTCAAACACCACTGGGTCTTGCTGGGTGTGTTATTGGCCCGTCCACCCGGGGGGCGGGAGACAGTGGGGAGACAGTGGGGAGACCGGAAAACCGGACGTCTAACCGGCAATCGGAAAATCCGTGACGGGGACGCCTTGCACCATGTGGAAGGACGCCTTCTCAAAGCCCACGACACCGCGAAAGTCGGCTTGATCGATGTTCGCGCCGTCGAAGATGGAATCGGTGATTTCCGCGCCGCGGAAGGACGTGCCGGATAGATTCGCGTTCTGAAATTCGGCGAGCACGAGGTGCGCCTAAGGAAAGAGGGGAGGTGGAAGCTTGACCACGCGCCGCACTATCGCGTGGGGCCCCACAACACATTTCCTGGCAAGGCCCCAGTGCGCCTTTGACCAGTCTCGGCTCTCTCTCTCTCGGCTACCTCTCGGCCAGACGTGGGTTGGGATGGGCAGCCATACACCTCGGCGATCTCTCGATCTCGGCTAGGCCTCGTCTCGCCTTCGAGAAGTCAGACCCGACGGCGTAAGCGTCTTGGAAGACCGCGCCCCCCGGGAAGAAGGCCGCGCGGAAGGTCGAGTTGGCGATGAAGATGCCAGACATGTCGCACGGCCCGTTCAGGTTCACCTTCATAATTAAGAATTAATAATTAAGAATTAATAGATGCCGGACATGTCGCACGGCCCGTTCAGGTTCACCTTCATAATTAATAATTAATAATTAAGAATTAATAGACATGTCGCACGGCCCGTTCAGGTTCACCTTCATAATTAAGAATTAATAATTAAGAATTAATAGATGCCGGACATGTCGCACGGCCCGTTCAGGTTCACCTTCATAATTAATAATTAAGAATTAAGAATTAATAGACTGTCGCACGGCCCGTTCAGGTTCACCTGCGAGTCGTGCGGCTGCATCCTGTGTCACGGGGGGTGAGACTTCTGCATCTGCGTCTGCATCTGCATCTGCATCTGCATCTGCATCTGCATCTTCATCTGCGTCTTCATCTGCGTCTGCATCTGCGTCTGCATCTGCGTCTTCATCTGCGTCTTCATCTGCGTCTGCATCTGCATCTGCATCTGCGTCTTCATCTCCTCGCTCAGTCTCGGCTGGATCTCGGCTGTATCTCGGCTAGGTCTCGTGCGTTGTCGAATGAGGTCGCGATGATGCGGGCGCCCTGCAGACGCGCGTCGACGATTGCGGCGCGGTCCAGCGAGGCGTTCCGGAAGAGCGCGCCCTTCATCCCCATGTCCTGTTAGGCAAGGAGTACACAGTGACTGAGCGAGGAGATCAGGAGGGGGCGCGCCTCCTCCATGCCACGTCCTGCGACACACGAGCGACGGATACAGGGCGGGGAATGAGAGGAATAGAAAGGGGGGGGGGAGGGGGGTGGGGGGGGCTCAAGAGCAACAGGTGGTCCTCCGCATGTCGGCCATGTGACGGTGGAGTCAAGAGGAAGGCAGGCAGCTCGCCGCTGTGCGACGGCGCCTCCAGCCACGTCGTGGTCGCCTCGAGCAAGTTCATTGAGAGGACAGTTCACTCCAGGGGATGCGCTTCACACAATGAGTTCACTCCACACACTGTGCCGCAAACTCATTCAGAGTCTAAGAAACAGCTCCTTCACTATCTAGCCAATCATGTTATTACTAGAGGTGCCGAATACGGTATCAATAAGCTAGTGTCAGCATCTTTAACGAAGCTGAATAGTGTGAATAGGCTATTCACTAGGCCAATCGCGCAAACAAGCTAGTCATTAGAAGCAGCTCAAGCTTGTGCGCCTCGAGCAGGTCCGCCTCGGACAGGACGACGTGGCGCAGCGTCGCGCCTTCATAATTAACAATTAATAAGTAACTAATGAAAAACGACGTGGCGCAGCGTCGCGCCTTCATGATAGTCAGGGCTGGCTGCACCTCGGCTGCATCTCGGCTGCATCTCGGCTGCATCTCGGCTGCATCTCGGCTGCACCTCGGCTGCATCTCGGCTGCATCTCGGCTGCATCTCGGCTGCATCTCGGCTGCATCTCGGCTGCATTTGGCGCTCCTTTCACATACCCGCTCGACACCGGCGTCGCCGGGTCGGGGTGCTTGAGCGAGCAGTTGGTGCCGGGGATGGGGAGGGTGTGGTACCTACGGGGTTGAGGGTCCGATCGTGGAAGTACGGGTGCGCCGCACGCACGCACGCGGGGGCTGCGAAGAGAACGAATACAGCTGACTGCGCGTCTCCTCGAGAGCGGTGGTTTGAATACAGCCGCGGCTCTGCCCCATCTAGCGGTTGCGGCACGAGACGTCGGAGTTGAAGATGCTGCAGCGGGAGGCGTGGCCCTTGCCAATCCATTTGCCGCGTGCCCCTTGGGGGCCAAAGAAGGGCGCGGGGCCAGGGGGCACGAACCACCGACCGAGCTTGTACTCGTACGCCGTGCAGCCCGGCCACTGCAGACGGGGGGCCAGGTGCGTGTCGGCGAGCAGAGAGGTGCGGCCGGGAGTGCACCGCCGGGGCGTTTAGCGGCCGTGTGCAAAGGAAGGCTGGAGGAGGTGCGCTGTCGCGCGGCGCGCGAAGTGCGCGGCGGCACGGCGTGTGGCGGGAGGGGCAGCAAGCGCGAGCCTCCATGCACAGAGCCGCACACTTCTCCTCGGCCACACCCCAGATCTCGCTCTGCCGCTCGGTCGGGCCGTGGAGCGCGAGGAAGGCCTGAAAGCCGGAATTCAACGCCTGCGTGCCGCCACTGGCGGCGGAGATGGGGTGGCAGGAGCCGGGCCGCGTCAGGAACCAGACGGAGTAGCTGGTCATCGTTCTCAAGGGAACCAAAGCACAAATTCCCTCCCCGTATTTACGGCGTGCACAAGCGCCGTTGACCCACGCAGCTACCCCCCCTCCTACACGGCGTGATCACGCCGGCGGCGGCGGCCGCCTGGGGAGCGCAGATGGCGGCGCAGGCGCAGGCCGCGGCGGCGGCACAGACGGCGGCGGCCACCCCCACCCAGACGCCGTAGGCATATGACTGTAGGGCCCCAGAAGGCTAGCTGGTAGCTTCATTTGTAGTAGCACAGCCGCCGGTGCTGGAGAGGGGTCCGCAGAGGTGGCGGGCGGGAGGTAGAGGTGTCCGTTTTATTTATTTATTTATTTATTCTGTCGCCTGCCACGGCCACGCCCCTCGGGGCGAAGAAGGCGGGCAAGCGTGCAGCGGAGGCGGCGCGCAGGGCGATTGCGCTTGAGAGGGAGGTGTGGGTTGACGGGGAGTGCCGGGGTGGGCGTCGTAAGGGTGAGGGCGATTGCCGCCCTCCCCCCTTCGCCCACCTCGACGCCTTCGTGTAGGCGCCCCCGCGACTGTGCCTCTTTTGGTGCTGTGTCGTTCCTGTGTCGAACCTGTGTGTTGTGAGAGGGAGTTCTTTTCGTTGAATTCTGATTCTGTCTGTTCTTTTTGCTATAATCGTGTTGTGCGACCGCTTTCTTGTAAAAGTGTGCCTGTGATAGTACTAGCACGCGCCAGTTCGCACCTGTGTCGAGCCTGTCTGCTGTGAGCGAGACCTGGGTTCTTTAAATTCTTTTTTGCCCGTGCCCAGTGTCGTGCGAGATTTGTAAAATTCTTTTCCGCCGATAACGATTGGGGTGGGGGCCCCAACTCGTGGTAGGCCACTAGTTTATCGTAGGGTACTCACGGATACCTCTCCTGAGTCCCTCTCGTGTGCCCTCGCGCACATCGCATGCGGTCTTCACTCAGCCTCCGCTGCTGTGAACACCAAACTTGCACTTCAGCTGGCGCGCGCTTTCGCCGCCTACTTTCGCGAGCGCGCTTGGCCCTTGCTCCTCATGCGCGGCGCTCTCGCTGCGCTCTCTCCCTGCTCATGGGACCTGATGCCGCGCCACCTCTGTGGCCGCTCCATCCTCTCTGACGGCGCCAGCCCTCCGGCTGCGCCATCTCTCTTTGGTTGGCACAGAATATGTGTCTGCGCCATTCTTGCTGTCGCTGGCGACTGTTTCTGGGCAGCAGTACACGATGGGCGGCGGCCTCGTCTGCCGCGCTTGTGGCGCTCTCGTGGTCGCCTCAGCTCTGCCACGACGGCCTCGTACACCTGGCGGCCAGGGGGCGGTGGCCCCACAGCCCACTCTTGGTGCTGCTGTTGCATCACGTCTCGTGGCGTGCTTCTCCTTTCTCTCTGGACCCGCCGGCGATAAGCTCTGCTGTCATATTGCTCTGGGAGATCTCTATCCAAGGCAGCACTCCGGCACTAGCTCCGCCTCGTGGGCGGCGTGGCGTTGCGGGCGGCTGTCTCTGCCGCCGCCTCGAGTGAGCCTCGTCTCGCTCTTCGTCTACTCGAGCCTCGTCTCGTGTGCCGCCTGGGCGGCGGCGTGGCGGGCGGCTGTCTCTGCCGCCGCCTCGAGTGAGCCTCGTCTCGCTCTTCGTCTACTCGAGCCGAGTCTCGTGTGCCGCCTCGTGGGCGGCGTGGCGGGCGGCTGTCTCTGTCGCCGCCTCGAGTGAGCCTCGTCTAGCTCCTCGTCTACTCGAGCCTCGCCTCGTGTGCCGCCTCGTGGGGCGGCGTGGCGTGGCGGGCGGCTGTCTCTGCCGTCGCCTCGAGTGAGCCTCGTCTCGCTCTTCGTCTACTCGAGCCTCGTCTCGTGCGCCGCCTCGTGGGGCGGTGTGGCGTGGCGGGCGGCTGTCTCTGCCGCCGCCTCGAGTGAGCCTCGTCTCGCTCTTCGTCTACTCGAGCCTCGTCTCGTGTGCCGCCTCGTGGGCGGCGTGGCGTGGTGGGCGGCTGTCTCTGCCGCCGCCTCGAGTGAGCCTCGTCTCGCTCTTCGTCTACTCGAGCCTCGCCTCGTGTGCCGCCTCGTGGGCGGCGTGGCGTGGCGGGCGGCTGTCTCTGCCGCCGCCTCGAGTGAGCCTCGTCTCGCTCTTTGTCTACTCGAGCCTCGTCTCGTGTGCCGCCTCGTGGGCGGCGTGGCGTGGCGGGCGGCTGTCTCTGCTGCCGCCTTGAGTGAGCCTCGTCTCGCTCTTCGTCTACTCGAGCCTCGTCTCGTGTGCCGCCTCTTGGGCGGCGTGGCGGGCGGCTGTCTCTGCCGCCGCCTCGTGTGAGTCTCGTCTCGCTCTTCGTCTACTCGAGCCTCGCCTCGTGTGCCGCCTCGTGGGCGGCGCGGCGTGGTGGGCGGCCGTCTCTGCCGCCACCTCGTGTGAGCCTCGTCTCGCTCTTCGTCTACTCGAGCCTCGTCTCGTGTGCCGCCTCGTGGGCGGCGTGGCGGGCGGCTGTCTCTGCCGCCGCCTCGAGTGAGCCTCGTCTCGCTCTTCGTCTACTCGAGCCTCGTCTCGTGTGCCGCCTCTTGGGCGGCGTGGCGGGCGGCTGTCTCTGCCGCCGCCTCGAGTGAGCCTCGTCTCGCTCTTCGTCTACTCGAGCCTCGTCTCGTGTGCCGCCTCTTGGGCGGCGTGGCGGGCGGCTGTCTCTGCCGCCGCCTCGTGTGAGTCTCGTCTCGCTCTTCGTCTACTCGAGCCTCGCCTCGTGTGCCGCCTCGTGGGCGGCGCGGCGTCATGGGCGGCCGTCTCTGCTGCCGCCTCGAGTGAGCCTCGTCTCGCTCTTCGTCTACTCGAGCCTCGCCTCGTATGCCGCTTGTGGGGAGCGTGGCGTGGCGGGCGGCCGTCTCTGCCGCCACCTCGTGTGAGCCTCGTCTCGCTCTTCGTCTACTCGAGCCTCGTCTCGTGTGCCGCCTCGTGGGCGGCGTGGCGGGCGGCTGTCTCTGCCGCCGCCTCGAGTGAGCCTCGTCTCGCTCTTCGTCTACTCGAGCCTCGCCTCGTATGCCGCTTGTGGGGAGCGTGGCGTGGCGGGCGGCTGTCTCTGCCGCCGCCTCGTGTGAGCCTCGTCTCGCTCTTCGTCTACTCGAGCCTCGTCTCGTGTGCGCCTCGTGGGCGGCGTGGCGTGGCGGGCGGCTGTCTGTGCCGCCGCCTCGAGTGAGCCTCGTCTCGCTCTTCGTCTACTCGAGCCTCGCCTCGTATGCCGCTTGTGGGGAGCGTGGCGTGGCGGGCGGCTGTCTCTGCCGCCGCCTCGAGTGAGCCTCGTCTCGCTCTTCGTCTACTCGAGCCTCGTCTCGTGTGCCGCCTCGTGGGCGGCGTGGCGGGCGGCTGTCTGTGCCGCCGCCTCGAGTGAGCCTCGTCTCGCTCTTCGTCTACTCGAGCCTCGCCTCGTATGCCGCTTGTGGGGAGCGTGGCGTGGCGGGCGGCTGTCTCTGCCGCCGCCTCGAGTGAGCCTCGTCTCGCTCTTCGTCTACTCGAGCCTCGTCTCGTGTGCCGCCTCGTGGGCGGCGTGGCGGGCTGCTGTCTCTGCCTCCGCCTCGAGTGAGCCTCGTCTCGCTCTTCGTCTACTCGAGCCTCGCCTCGTGTGCCGCCTCGTGGGGCGGCGTGGCGGGCGGCTGTCTCTGCCGCCGCCTCGAGTGAGCCTCGTCTCGCTCTTCGTCTACTCGAGCCTCGTCTCGTGTGCCGCCTCGTGGGCGGCGTGGCGTGGCGGGCGGCTTTCTCTGCCGCCGCCTCGAGTGAGCCTCGTCTCGCTCTTCGTCTACTCGAGCCTCGTCTCGTGTGCCGCCTCGTGGGCGGCGTGGCGTGGCGGCCTGCTGTCTTTGCCTCCGCCTCGAGTGAGCCTCATCTCGCTCTTCGTCTACTCGAGCCTCGCCTCGTGTGCCGCCTCGTGGGGCGGCGTGGCGGGCGGCTGTCTCTGCCGCCGCCTCGAGTGAGCCTCGTCTCGCTCTTCGTCTACTCGAGCCTCGTCTCGTGTGCGGCCTCGTGGGCGGGGTGGCGGGCTGCTGTCTCTGCCTCCGCCTCGAGTGAGCCTCGTCTCGCTCTTCGTCTACTCGAGCCTCGTCTCGTGTGCCGCCTCGTGGGCGGCGTGGCGTGGCGGGCGGCTGTCTCTGCCGCCGCCTCGAGTGAGCCTCGTCTCGCTCTTCGTCTACTCGAGCCTCGTCTCGTGTGCCGCCTCGTGGGCGGCGTGGCGGGCTGCTGTCTCTGCCGCCGCCTCGAGTGAGCCTCGTCTCGCTCTTCGTCTACTCGAGCCTCGTCTCGTGTGCCGCCTCTTGGGCGGCGTGGCGGGCTGCTGTCTCTGCCTCCGCCTCGAGTGAGCCTCGTCTCGCTCTTCGTCTACTCGAGCCTCGTCTCGTGTGCCGCCTCTTGGGGGGCGTGGCGTGGCGGGCGGCTGTCTCTGCCGCCGCCTCGAGTGAGCCTCGTCTCGCTCTTCGTCTACTCGAGCCTCGTCTTGTGTGCCGCCTCGTGGGCGGCGTGGCGTGGCGGGCGGCTGTCTGTGCCGCCACCTCAAGTGAGCCTCGTCTCGCTCTTCGTCTACTCGAGCCTCGTCTCGTGTGCCGCCTCGTGGGCGGCGTGGCGGGCGGCTGTCTCTGCCGCCGCCTCGAGTGAGCCTCGTCTCGCTCTTCGTCTACTCGAGCCTCGTCTCGTGTGCCGCCTCTTGGGCGGCGTGGCGTGGCGGGCTGCTGTCTCTGCCTCCGCCTCGAGTGAGCCTCGTCTCGCTCTTCGTCTACTCGAGCCTCGTCTCGTGTGCCGCCTCTTGGGCGGCGTGGCGGGCGGCTGTCTCTGCCGCCGCCTCGAGTGAGCCTCGTCTCGCTCTTCGTCTACTCGAGCCTCGTCTCGTGTGCCGCCTCGTGGGCGGGGTGGCGTGGCGGGCGGCTGTCTCTGCCGCCGCCTCGAGTGCTTCTCGTCTCGCTCTTAGTCTACTCGAGCCTCGCCTCGTGTGCCACCTCGTGGGCGGCGTGGCGGGCGGGCGGCTGTCTCTGCCGCCGCCTCGAGTGAGCCTCGTCTCGCTCTTTGTCTACTCGAGCCTCGTCTCGTGTGCCGCCTCGTGGGCGGCGTGGCGGGCGGGCGGCTGTATCTGCCTCAGCCTCGAGTGCGCCTTGTCTCGCTCTTGGTCTACTCGAGCCTCGTCTCGTGTGCCACCTCGTGGGCGGCGTCGCGGGCGGGCGGCTGTCTCTGCCTCCGCCTCGAGTGCGCCTGGTCTCGCTCTTGGTCTACTCGAGCCTTGTCTCGTGTGCCGCCTCGTGGGCGGGGTGGCGGGCGGGCGGCTGTCTCTGCCTCCGCCTCGAGTGCGCCTTGTCTCGCTCTTGGTGTACTCGAGCCTCGTCTCGTGTGCCACCTCGTGGGCGGCGTGGCGGGCGGGCGGCTGTCTCTGCCGCCGCCTCGAGTGCGTCTCGTCTCGCTCTTCGTCTACTCGAGCCTCGTCTCGTGTGCCGCCTCGTGGGCGGCGTGGCGGGCGGGCGGCTGTCTCTGCCGCCGCCTCGAGTGCTTCTCGTCTCGCTCTTTGTCTACTCGAGCCTCGTCTCGTGTGCCGCCTCGTGGGCGGCGTGGCGGGCGGGCGGCTGTCTCTGCCGCCGCCTCGAGTGAGCCTCGTCTCGCTCTTCGTCTACTCGAGCCTCGTCTCGTGTGCCGCCTCGTGGGCGGCATGGCGGGCGGGCGGCTGTCTCTGCCTCTGCCTCGAGTGCGCCTCGTCTCGCTCTTCGTCTACTCGAGCCTCGTCTCGTGTGCCGCCTCGTGGGCGGCGTGGCGGGCGGGCGGCTGTCTCTGCCGCCGCCTCGAGTGAGCCTCGTCTCGCTCTTCGTCTACTCGAGCCTCGCCTCGTGTGCCGCCTCGTGGGCGGCGTGGCGGGCGGGCGGCTGTCTCTGCCGCCGCCTCGAGTGAGCCTCGTCTCGCTCTTCGTCTACTCGAGCCTCGTCTCGTGTGCCGCCTCGTGGGCGGCGTGGCGTGGCGGGCGGCTGTCTGTGCCGCCACCTCAAGTGAGCCTCGTCTCGCTCTTCGTCTACTCGAGCCTCGTCTCGTGTGCCGCCTCGTGGGCGGCGTGGCGGGCGGCTGTCTCTGCCGCCGCCTCGAGTGAGCCTCGTCTCGCTCTTCGTCTACTCGAGCCTCGTCTCGTGTGCCGCCTCTTGGGCGGCGTGGCGTGGCGGGCTGCTGTCTCTGCCTCCGCCTCGAGTGAGCCTCGTCTCGCTCTTCGTCTACTCGAGCCTCGTCTCGTGTGCCGCCTCTTGGGCGGCGTGGCGTGGCGGGCGGCTGTCTCTGCCGCCGCCTCGAGTGAGCCTCGTCTCGCTCTTCGTCTACTCGAGCCTCGTCTCGTGTGCCGCCTCGTGGGCGGCGTGGCGTGAATGTAGGCTTCACGCTGGGGTCGCTCCTCGTCACGAGCGCATCTGCCCCTCTTCTGGCTTCATTGGGATGCGAGGTCCGTCTGCACCCGCTCCCTCCACTCTGCGTTGGGATGTCAGGTACTGCGTAGCTCTTCCGTTGTGGAGGCACGCGACTCCAGACTGACCCTTTACGCGCCAATGTATCACACCTCACGGTGCTGATGCTTGGTTCATGTGGAGAAGCCGAGATAAACTAGTCCGCCGATAACGATTGGGGTGGGGGCCCCAACTCGTGGTAGGCCACTAGTTTATCGTAGGGTACTCACGGATACCTCTCCTGAGTCCCTCTCGTGTGCCCTCGCGCACATCGCATGCGGTCTTCACTCAGCCTCCGCTGCTGTGAACACCAAACTTGCACTTCAGCTGGCGCGCGCTTTCGCCGCCTACTTTCGCGAGCGCGCTTGGCCCTTGCTCCTCATGCGCGGCGCTCTCGCTGCGCTCTCTCCCTGCTCATGGGACCTGATGCCGCGCCACCTCTGTGGCCGCTCCATCCTCTCTGACGGCGCCAGCCCTCCGGCTGCGCCATCTCTCTTTGGTTCCCACCCACCCTCTCCTTGGTGGCATGCTAAGCTCTCACGCTATCATGGGATCCACCGTGGCTCTCACGGCGAAGTCAGCTCGAGCCTCTGCTCGCGTAATGGGTCCTGTCGTCGGCCCATCTTACCTCTCCCCCCTCTTTATGCGGGGGAGACTCCCGCGTCGTTTACGCGGCGGTAGGTGGTGAGCTCCACGTGTGGTGAGCTCCACCTCTCTCTCTACTTGGTCTGAGGTGCGAACCCTTACGGCGCCGCGGCCGGCTGCAGGACGTTGAGGTTACCTCCGGACCTGCAGTTCGTCCAAGCTGTTTGAGTCCCAACCCTCCGCCTTTAGTGGCAAGACCCCGGGGGATGTCAGGTACTGCGTAGCTCTTCCGTTGTGGAGGCACGCGACTCCAGACTGACCCTTTACGCGCCAATGTATCACACCTCACGGTGCTGATGCTTGGTTCATGTGGAGAAGCCGAGATAAACTAGTCTGCTCGGGATCTTACGTTCGTCCAGTGGGACATATGCGGCTCTCTTCACTAACGGCCTGCGGCCCCGGCGCGGCAGCGGAGCTTGCCAGTAAGGTGCGTGCGCTCAAGGCGGATGCTGTCGTCTGGTTCACCGAGTCCTCGCAGCCGGCGGAGCTCGCAGTCGCTCTCGCCGACTCTGCAGAGAGCGTCGTCGGAGCAGTCACGACGCAAGGCCTCATCGGCGGCGGCGGAGAGCACAGCCGGTCGCTCGGCTCCGCGTCGATGCCCGGAGTGCCGTACTCCTTTTCTCCGTCGCCCGAGGCGGAGCGGACAGTCGCGCTTGCCATCTCCGGACTCAGCGGCGGCGCGAGCCTGCTCCCGTGGCACTCGCCGCCGGACGGCCTGCCCGATCTCCCAGAGGCCTTTTGGACTGACCACGCTGTCGCGCCGCCCGAGATGTCTCCACACCTGCTGCTGCTCGCGGCGCCGCCGTCCTCGAGCTCGTTTGGCGTCGAGCGGTGGCCGGGCCTAGACATTTCGGCCACATGTCGGCCTGACCCTCTGCCACACCTCGGACCGATCTCGGCCTCACCTCGGCTAAACTCGGCCAGAGACCTACGCCTCGGCCGCATCTGAACTAGGTGGCTCAGCCGACTCGACTCGGCGCTGCCGTGGGCGACCAAGGTATCTTGGGTGTATATCTCGGAGATATCTCTGTCTCGGGTGTATATCGGATAAATTGACTCCGATACACCGCGGGTACATCTCGGGTACATCTCGGCTCCACTTGGCTCTCTCGACGGCCTCACGGTCGGATCTGTCACGTCTCAGCGATCAAGTGCTCACTTGATGGCAGGTCGGCGGCCTCACGGTCGGCTACAGCCTGCCAATTAATTATTAATAATTGATAATTAATAATTAACAGGTCGGAGGCCTCACGGTCGGCGACAGTCGCTTCTTCGTCGGGGCGACAGAGCACGACGGCGGCGGCGTCGGCCTCGCGCTCTGCGGCGTCGACCTCGAGCCGCTCGTGTGCCAGGCGCCTCGGCGAGATCTCGGCGGAATCTCGGAGGAGTCTCGGAGATGGCCGTCCCGCCATGGGCACGGCCGCTTGCGCTTCTGCAGACGTGTGCTTTTCAATGCTTGTGGTGCCTGTGCGGCACCCCGTGTGCCTCTGGCCCCTGATTCATATCAGTCTGTTAATCAGTAGAGTCTCTTATGCGGTTATGTGCCTCTCGCTCGTGCCACGATCACACACACACACACACCGCTCACCCACGCGCACCGGGCCTTGCACTTTGAATGCCCGTGGGGCTCCTGTCGTGTTAGACGTGGAGGGTTGCCCCCCCCGCCCCCCCCTTGCGCCCCACCCCACCTCGCGGTGTGTGCGGAGAAGTTTACCTTCCCTTACGGCTTTACCTTACCTTAGTCCTTACCTGCCACGATCACGCTCTTCTCGTGCCACGATCACGCGAAACTTCTGTTTCTCTCACGCGAAAAAACTCACGCCCCGCTGCTCCCCGCTCCGCGCCCTCGATGCACCGATGCACGATGGCGGGTCGGGCGTCGGCGCCGCGTCGTTGTGATAAACTAAGCCGTAATTGGCGAACTCTTAAGAGTAGAGAGAGCGCACCCCCCCGCGGCAAGACGGTAGAGATCTAGACGCCCGCCGCGCGCGCGCATCGCTTTGTCCGGGCCGCCCCAGCTGCCTGCCCCCATATCCCAACCGCCGGGCGCCAGCTGCCGCGCGCAACAACGACCGGGGGCGGTGCCGATGTAGCTACCTCCCGTCCGCCGCTGCCGCCCGCGGCCCGCCGCGCCCCTACGCGCCATCGAGGTAGGCGCGGAAGCCGCCCTTCTCGAGCTTGTCTGCCTTGCAGAGCACCTCCGCCTCCTGCGACTCCATGTAGGCCGCCATCTTGCGGCGCAGCGTCGGGTCGGCCGCGCCTAGGCACCACCGCCAGAAGAGAGCAATGACAAAGAAAAAGAACTCTCTCCCACGGCGCAGGGCCGACTCAGCCGCACCGAGCGTCCGGACGGCGAGGAGGCCGGCGTTGGCGGCGTTGTGGATCGCGACGGTCGCAACCGGCACGCCGCGCGGCATCTGCACGATCGAGAGGAGCGAGTCGTTGCCGGACAGCGCCGACGACTTGACGGGCACGCCTAGCCCGAGATTCGCCGAGATTCGCCGAGATTCGCCGAAGACTCGCCGAGGCTGGCGCTACGAGGAGAGAGAGAGAGAGAGAGAGAGAGAGAGAGAGAGAGAGAGAGAGAGAGAGAGAGAGAGAGCGGAGGGGGGGAGGGAGGGAGGGAGGGAGGGAGAG